AAAAAAAAAAAAAAAAAAAAAAAAAAAAAAAAAAAAAAAAAAACAATCTATACTTTTCGCCTCTCTCTCTTCCTCTCAATGGCTACGTATACTTTTTCCGCATCTCTCTCTTCCTCTCACTACTCTATGTTTATTATCAGGGAACACCAACCAACCCGGATCTCTTCCCAGCCCACGTGGTAGGTGTGCACCACAGTGGTGATACGAGAGCAAACCTGTTCCTCATCACGGTGATGTGGGGTTCCTGTGCTCCAGTTGTTCTGTTAAGAGTTCACAAGGGACTCTGGGCCTGGTTCGCAGCACGTGCTGCTCCCCACCAATAGATAGGAGCTATGTTCCCCCCCAGATTCAGGTGCTTGACCTCGCCGGGGTAACAGCGAGGGGCAACCATTTATTTGCATGCGTTTGTTGTTTTTAACTTTTTTTCTAATTCTTTTCGCTAGCACTTCTTTTGTTTTTCGTTTTTTCCTCATATATATGTATATAAAATTATAAATATATTTCCTTTTATTTTCTTCAAAAACTAAGCTATACTCTTTTCTCAATTTCACCTTCCTCTACCTACCTACCACTACTCCTAAGCCTACATAGGGGACCCCTGCAAGCATAGCTACCTCTCACTATGCATGTTGCCCCCCGCCCTACTAGGCGCTGGTCCCGGAATAGGGTGGGGCCGCAAAGTCTGAGCCTGTTGCCAGTAGCTGTGCCTGCCATCTACTCCCCCCCCCCCCCTTCTAGTAACAGCAGTGTCTATGGCCAGCATTCTCCCACACACCACACACAATCCACACACACACATGCACATTCACCCGTGATGGCCGAGCACCCTACTGATACAGAATCGGGGGAGCAAGCCAACTGTCTCAGTTAGTTGGCACCAAGAGTGCTGCAGGTGGTCAGTGGGGATTGAAGTTGGTTAGATACGCATTCAGCATTTGCTCAAACATTTTTCTCTAACACTGTGGTACCTACCCTTTTCTTTGTTTCTTTCTCTCTCTTTTTTTTCGTTTTTTTCCCCCAAAAGATTTATTCCATTCATTGCAAAATAAATTTTGAGGCCGGAGTCCTCACAGTCTACCTGGAGTGTAACCATCTGGGAGTGTGTTACCCAGTTTTGCTTACAGGGATTGAACCCTGCCAGGGGACCAACCCCCTGATAACCAGAAATGCATAAGCAGGAAAAACATGAGAACAGAGAGGCCCCAGTAAGCAAGTTACAGCTGCCACAACACCCGGCACTTGGGAACAGAAGTAAAGTAGATTGGGCTAACTTCGGCAGGGGTGAGGGGTGGCACATCCTTCCCGCCGGAAGTAATAGATGCCATCCCTTGGGCTTTCCTACCGTAAAGGAAAAGAGCGTGTGCGAGTTCTATATGCAATTCTTTTGACTTGCCGGTGGAATAGGAACCGGACTGATGCTCCCCAGAATGGAAAAGTAGCCAGAACCACAAGGTTCTTTTTTTTTTTTTTTTTTTTTTTTTTTTTAAATGAGAAAAGACAAGCCACAGTTCCTGATCAGAGGACTGAGCTGCCCCTAACACAGGGCAGTGGAACTAATGTTCCAAACCATATCCTTGGCACTCCCTCCGAACCCCCCAAACCACCATCTTTTTTTGTTTTTGATGCTCATGGAGTCTCTCCCCTCTCATTTTTAATCTGAATATTTCTCCTGGCACATCCCCCCCGCTCCCTCTAATCTGAGCACTCAGGCTTGTACATTCAAGACATCCACCTTCTAGCCTGCAAATCTACGGACTTTGGTTACAGGTTCCAGGGCTGGGCGGGCAGGCAGACCCAGCCCTAGCTGAAGCACTGTTGTACGAGACTCCTCGCACGAGGTACTTCTGACGCTAGTGTGTGATTCCTACGGGCCCCATGAGCACCTTGTCATGCCCCCCATCCAGGGGTCTGTACCTAGAGCATCCCTGCTTGCGGTACGATAGGCACTATCTAATGGCCTAGGCCAAGGTCTACCCTACGAGGGCTCCTGCCCCCAAGTACTTACCCTCCATCTGGGACACCTATGTTCTGCGTTCATGGGCATTGATACTTGCAATCCAGGGTCCAAAATGAGAAATTCGAAAAAGTGGGATCTTGCCTGTGTCTCGGAATTTTTGTCAAAGGCAATCAAAATATAAAATGAGCAAAGTTGGGTGACATGAAATTTTTTGCAGCCCCGCTGCACCCTCCCCTGCCTTGCACCACCAGATAGGCCGAACTTGATTGTGGCCTCCATGTGTGGCAGCTTTGCTGGGTGTGCAGCGAACTGGTCATTCTAACCACCGCCCCCTTCTTTTATGACCGTCCCCTCTGCCTAGGGCAGTTTCTGTGGATGGAAGAACAAGCTGTGGCTCCCAAATTGGTGATCGAATGGAACCCCGAAGAATCATAGGCCGTGCAGTAAACAGGTGGTTGCAAAAATGGAATGGTTTGCTTAAGCCACCAGTACTTCCTAAAGTTGTGCCCGTTAACAAGCCACAATTTTAGGAACGTATGGGCCACCACAGAAGCACCCAAATTCATCCGATTAGAAACGTTTCTACTCTATTTTTTCCTCGGCCGATAGCTGGTCCAAGTAC